GGGACGTTTGACGTGTAGTGCGTTCACGAAATTTGGCGGCTGGGATTAATCCGAACAATTCCTCAGAGCACTCTCCGTGATAGATGCGATAAAATACGCAAAGAGATGCAACATCTCTTCGCAGCGCCAGTGAATCGAGCCGATCGGAAAGCACTCGGTCGTCGACGATTCGAGCCGCTCTGCGCTGGATGCGGTCAAGTGGAAGAAGCTGGTACTGGGGAGCCCCAGCCCAGAGATGGGAACAGTATTCCATGTGCGGCCGAACCTGCGCCTTGTAAATTTGCAGGCGGTGTGCCGGCATGAAATACTGTCCCGCTCTGCTGAGCACGCCAAGCTTTTTAGAGGCCAATTTGGCCTTCCCTTCCAAGTGACCACGAAACTGCACGTTACTCGATATGTCGACGTCGAGGATTCCGATACTGGCTGAGGCAACAAGGGGAGTGCCTTGAAACTGAGGGGATACGACAAAGGGGTTCTTTTTAGCGGTTAACGCGCAAACTTGTGTCTTCTGGGGGTTAAACTGGACTAGATTTAGTCGCCCCCAATCCGAGACTCTGTCCAGCGGAGACTCGACTTCAGACACAAGTTTGTCCCGGCACTCGGAGACGTTTTCCCGAGAAATATTGGCTCGGCCGGTGTAAAGAGCATCACCAGTACTGTTATCTGCATAGCAATGAATGTTACGGGTATGCAACATGTCATTGATATGCAGAAGAAACAGCGTTGGCGATAGCTCGCAGCCCTGTGGAACACCAGCATTAATAGGCTTGCAATCGGAGCTTGCACCGTCTACAACGACCTTGATGCTCCGATCTGCAAGAAAGCTGGTGATCCAATCGCACAATTTCTCGGGAAGCCCGTAGGAAGGGAGCTTCGAAAGAAGCGCTTTGTGCCAAACCCAATCGAAGGCCTTCGCAATGTCCAAACTAACGGCCAATGCCTCCCCCTTGAACTCTACTGCCTCCGCCCATCTGTGAGTTAGGTAGACCAGAAGATCACCAGCTGACCGACCACGGCGAAAACCGTATTGGCGGTCACTAATAAGCTGGTGATCTTCAAGGTACCTCATGAGCTGGCAGTTTACAATGGACTCCATTGTTTTGGAGAACAAGGAGGTGATGGCGATTGGCCGGTAGTTGGACGGGTCAGAGCGGTCGCCTTTTTTAGGGATCGGGTGGACGTAAGCCGTCTTCCGTGATTTTGGGACTACGCCTAGGGAGTAGGAGTACCGGAAAAGACGCGTTAAAACCGGTGCCAACTCTGGAGCACACGTCCTCAGCACAATTGGGGGGATTCCGTCAGGCCAACTCGACTTGTGGATGTCCAGGGAGAGGAGTGCTTTGCGAACCGAGCGCTGTGTGAAGTGCACTTCCGGCATGGAGCACTCACACCGCGGGATGGTCGGCGGAGTACTCCCCCCGTCATCGTGAGTCGAGTTAGACGCAAAGAAAGAGCCTAGAAGATCGGCTTTCTCCTTTGCGGTATGGGCCAGTGAGTCGTCCTCCCTGTGCAGAGATGGAAGAGATAGCTGACAGAAATTCCCCTGGACAGCCTTGGCGAGAGACCAGAATGCACGGGTTCCAGAAGGAAGGCGAACTAGTTTCTAGCCAATTCTGCCTATGTGCTCTGACTTTGCCTTGGCAATGACTCTTTTGAAGGACCTAGAGGCGGAATTATACTTCTTTTTTAGAGCGCTGGTGTTTACATCCCGGGACGCTGATGCATCAGCCCAGGCTTGGTAGCACTCCTGCTTATAGCATGATGCTATTTTACAGGAGCGACCAAACCATGGCTGAGACTTGCCTCCAATGGGCACCACAGAGGAAGGAATAAAAAGTTCCATACCCTGAAGTACCACATCAGCGACAGAATCCGCAACAACGTTGGGATCATCCGGCGAGAAGCAAACCCGCCCCCAAGGGTAGGATGCAAAGAAAGACCGCATCCCATCCCAATCGGCTGACCTATAGTGCCAAACACGGCGGCAGCCTGCAGAATGCAACCGCGATTTCAGCGTGAGTGGCACCACACTCCGGACCAGACAATGGTCCGAGGAGCCTAAAGGGGCGTCGACGGAAATCTGATATCCGTCCGGGTGAGAGGTCAGCAGAAGGTCCAACAGGGAAGGTGCATGATCCTCCACATCTGGAATCCGCGTAGGTGAAGTAACCAGTTGTGTCAGACCATATGCCAAGGCAAAATCATGAACAGATCTCCCCGCATGATCGGTTAAACGTGAACCAAGCCATTCGGCGTGATGGGCGTTAAAGTCGCCGAGGATCACGATCTCTGCGGAGGGGATCCGCTGTAGCAACGAATCTGCAGCCATTTGGACGTGGTCGAATAGTCGGTCTGTTTCGGCATTATGGGACGCTATGGGACCTATAGAGGCACCCGTAGACGCGCGGATGGTCGTCGCTGTCTACGCGTAGCCAAAGGATGGACAGGTCCGAACCTTCAAGTCTGCCGAGGCGTCGAGAGCAGATGTCCTCTCTGACGTAAACGCAAACTCCAGCCCGAGGCACAAAGGAGTGTTCCAGTTTGTACCCCGGGTAGGAGAGATACGAGACATCAGCCGGAGAGGACACCTGCGTCTCGGTCAGAAAGAGCAGAGCCGGCCTCGCCGTCTCGAGATGGTAGTGGACGGCGTTTAGGTTAGAGTGAAGTCCCCTGATATTGCAGAAATTCACGGACAGCGTGGCAGGGGTCGCCTTGGTCTTGTTGCTCCGTTTGCCCCGAGCAGTTGTAGTCTTGAGCGGAATTTTGCCCCCCCCCCCCCCAGAATACGCGGGGCAGCCTGAGCACCCACGCTCAGAAGTGGAGAAACATGGTCGTGGATGCTCAGCGAGGGATTCTCCAGGGGTGCTGGTACCCTCCTGGGGTAGTCGATCATTATTTAATTCCGCCACCATGTTGATGAGGGGGGGGGATTTGGGCCCTGGCCACCTGCACTCACCAGACGAAACGCGGAATTAGAGCTTCCACTTCACGCCGGTATTCTGTGAGGTCGTGGTACCACCCCGGTTTGAGCCGGCCCATACGTGCAACAGCAAAGCTGCCGCGTGGCTCTACCACTGTTAAAACATATATTTTAGTTGACAGCTATCATAATGGTAGAGAGGCCATCAAACGGTATTATTGTAATTGCTTGGTAAGAAAAAGAACTGTAGGTTGCTGTTGTCATGTAATGTCCATAATATGGTACCTAAGCTGGGCAAGGCATCAAGAGAATTTAATACCGCATGCACCGCTTTTAGACGATATTTTATTTGTTTATGATGAAGTGGACGATTAATAAATCAATAAAAGAGTTTTTAATTCATACTCCCTCAGCTTTTTTATAATTATTTCAAACCTCTAGAATTTAGTTGAACGGCGACGTCTGAATCCTCTATGTGTGAATGTCCTACAGTACATAAAATTATGTTAGTCTAGTTTACAATAAAGTCTAATAAATATTTTCTTAAAGTGTAATGGAAGAGCTTGGTGTAAGAATTACATTGTAAGCATAACGTAAGCAATAACATTGTTTTCATACAAATCAATAACATCCTATATTTTTATTCTACCATGAAGCAGTTGTAAATATTTTAGTTTTTTTAAAATGGTATTGGTATATAAATAATATAATGCAGTAATCGTTACTGTAACATCAGGCCCAGCTTTCTATGAACTTTCGCCCGTCTCCTTTTGGGATTTTTGATGAAAACAATGCGACAAGTAAGTTGTACAGTCCCCTCTGGATGTTAACCTAACTATCCAAAGAATTCTAAAGAGACCGAAACAGGAGGTCAAAATCTGAAGAATCATTTTCTTGCAATATCCTGTGAGTTGCACTTTTGGGCACTCCAGTTCTTAATTTTATTGCACGCACTTGAAGTACTCGTCTTATTCGACAGCTTCTAGCACAACGTTTTTCTTAACCTGGTAGAGCCTGGTAGAGTAGAGGTGTTTAAGACTATTTCAATTCCTTAATTAGTGTAGTGTCGACGACAAGCATATAATTTACCAAGTGACGGACTTTATTTTAAAACTATTATAATTTCTCAATTAGTGTATTTAGCTTATTAACTCTTATTAGAATATAATTTAAATATAATTTCAAAATTGAAAGGTTAGCCTTTAATGATAATTTTGTAAGGAAGTTTTTAAGCAAGAATTTGTATTGTAAATACTTATAAAAAATTTAAGTTTTGTTTAACGCTTAAAAACTGGTGTTAGATTAAAGGTTTATAAGTAACATAATGTAAACAAAAAGAAATAAGTAGATTAGACATCTGTTTTAATAAATATAAGACAAAATGTATAGTAAATTAGCAATTTTGTAGGGTTTTTGTTCTACAAGTTTTGTATAGAGGACTTAATAGTTTTATATTATTATTTTATGTTATAGAACATAACTAGAGAAATCTAAAAATGTATAATTTGTAAGGGTTTTTTTTTGAAAATTTTCAATAAATAAAAGCTCCTAAGGTTTCGGCTCGAAGTAAAAACAACGCGCGAGATAGGGAAAACCGCGCTAACGCCCGTACGGTAACGCCGGAGGGTATATAAGCCGAGCAAATTTCTGCTCAAGTCACAGTCGCAGCACAGCCGTCGAAGAGGCTACAACTATAAGGAAAAAGGAAGCCGAAACCTAAGGAAACAAGAAGCTACCTAGAAGAAAAGTGTTTTAATTGCCTCCTTCCGGCTGATCATCTCTCTCTCTCTCTCTCTGGGGGTCCTAGTAGGGTCGTAGTATACATACGCATTCAGGGGTACGTGGGACGTGCGTCACCAACACTAGGCAAGGAACGTACGTCATAAAGTGGGAGATTGTCCCAGGGCGACTGCGGGCACTGGACGTGTCCCTGCCGTCCGAAACAGTTGGTCCTTCGAAATCCGGATCCCTGCTAGAAGTATATAGAAGAATCCGTTCAAGATGCCGGTTACCAGGTCACAGAAGGATGCCCCCCTCACGTCCCGGGTCCCGTCCCTCAGATAAGGACGCGACAGGTGAAATGTCAGGATCAGAAGGGGTCACTTCTGCGTCAGCGTCAGCATCATCAGGAACAGCAACTACGTCAGATTCTTCAGGCACTACGACCACAGAGGATACCACAACGACAGAGACCACAGTTGCAACTGCCACCACGGCGGCATCCAAGGATGAAACCGCACAGAAGGAGACGACCAAGAAGACTCCAGAGGATATTCCAGACAAGGGCGTTCATGGCTCTGCCACAACCCTTAAGCCAAAGGGGGTCAGTCGTCGCGCCAGGTCTACGAAGACCACGAGCTCCTCAACCAGGAGACGGGAGGTGGAAGCCAGGGAAGAATTAGCACGCATGGAGCTAAAGCAAGCTCAAGCTGTGGCGAAGCTAGCACGTATCAGATTAGAGCTGGCACAATGTGAAGATGAGGACTCCGTGGATGAAGACCAGGAAGACAGAACAGCACAGGTGCAGAACTGGATCGAGACATCAGTAATGGAAGAAAACAACATGGGAAAACACGAGCAACGAGGTCAGCACCCTCCAGAAGAGCCAATTGTGAAGCCTGAAGAGAACTCCTCAACGAAAAAAGATACGAGCGAAATTCAAGCGCTGACGATAGCGTTGAAGGAAGCCCTTACCACACGAGGAGGACCAGTAGCTCAGCCGAAGTATATCCACGAGCTACCCTACTTCGATGGCAACAGCAGCGAGTGGTTGGCCTTCAAGGTGGTCTACGAAGATACCGCCCCGATGTTCAACGCAGTTCAAAACATGGCTCGACTAAGAAGAGCACTAAAGGGCAACGCAAGAGAAGCCATCAAGAGCCTGCTGTACTCCAAAGCCTCCACTGGAAGTAATGCAGGCCCTCAGGAGACGATATGGAAGATCTGATACATTGGTGCTGGCTGAATTGGACAAAGTCAGGGCATTACCAAAGATTTCTGAAAATCCAAGAGATATATGCGTCTTTGCGAGCCAAATCAACAACAGCGTAGCAGCAATAAGGGGTTTGAAGAAACCACAGTACCTGCATTCACCTGAAATGGTAAAGCAAATTATAGAAAAAATGCCTACAATCCTGAAGTTCCGATGATATGACTTTACGGCAGCAACAGAAGAGGGCGAGTTCTGCGACCTGACGATGGTCTCCAAGTTTCTGAACAGCGAAGCAGACAAATGTGGAGCCTTCGCGACCTCAGAAAAGAGCGGGTTCAGAAGAACTCATCGACAAGCGACGCATTCTACGTGGGAAAAGGACTTTAAAGAAAAAGATACAAGACAGTCAACAGAAAGGACTTGTCCTATGTGCCAAGGTGGACACTTCCTCGTCGACTGCCAGAAGTTCCAGAAGACGTCAGTACAAGATCGATGGGCAACAGTAAAGAAAAGTCAGTTTGCTTCAAATGTCTTCAAGGAAAACATCGAAAGGAGAGCTGCAAGAAACCACCATGTAAGGAATGCAAGAGGTGGCATCACCATTTGTTGCACGTCGAATCAGAAAAAAGGACCTCGGGAGAGAAGAAGGCGGAAACACAAGAAGAAGTCGGAAACACAAGAAGTAGCAAGCGTCATGACATCAGTGAATGCAGTCAACAACGCAAGGGCATACCTGAAGATAGTTCCAGTAGAAGTCTTCGGGCCAAAAGGATCCAAAAGAATATTGGCCCTCATGGATGAAGGGTCGACAGTGTCACTTATTGACACAAAGGTGGCAGAAGAAGTCGGCGCTCAAGGCAACAAAGAGGAGCTGGTCATCGAGACAGTAGGAGGCAGGCAAGTCAAGGAGAAGGATTCTCAGACGCTGGCCCTTGTAGTGAAGGGGGTTCATCAAGGAGGCAAGAAGACCTTGAGGAGAGTCCGAACTATTAACGAGCTGAAGCTTCTACCACAGTTCCTAGAGAAGAAAAGGATAGAAGAATGCCAACATTTGAAGAAGATCGCCGACTCTCTTTATTATAAAGGGGAATCACCACAGCTGCTCATCGGTCAAGACAACTGGGAGCTGATAGTGACTCAAGAAGTAAGGAAAGGGAAACCAGGAGAACCAGTTGCTGCAAGAACAGGGCTTGGATGGGTGCTTCACGGATCAGACACAGTACATGTCAGCACACCAGATGAGGAGATGCATCAAGCCATCAAGGACCACTTTGCAATCGAGGCGCTTGGTGTGCAGCCACGAAGACCCACCACAGACTCAGAAGGAAGAGCACTCGCCATCCTAGAGAAGACCTGCAGAAGACTTGAAGATGGACAATTCGAAGCTGGACTCTTATGGAAAAATGAAGATGAACAGATGCCTGAGAGCTACTCATCTGCAAAGAACCGGTTGTTAAATATTGAAAAGAAGATGGATAAGGACCCTCAGCTGAAAGCAGAATATATCAAGCAGATCCAGCATCTTATCGACAGCAAGTATGCAGAAGAAGCACCTATAACACAAAAGGACTCCAAGAAAAAATGGTACCTCCCTCACTTCTCCGTAGTACATCCACTGAAGAAAAAGATAAGGATCGTCTTCGACGCTGCAGCCAAGTCAAAGGGAAGAAGCCTCATCGATGCTCTACTGCCAGGACCAGATCTACTACAGTCGCTCTTCGGGATACTACTAAGGTTTCGACAGGGCCCGCTAGCTGTGGCGGCCGATATCAGACAAATGTTTCTTCAAGTTCGCATTCGACCAGAAGACAGAAATAGCCTGAGGTTTTTTGTGGCGCGGGGCTCGTCGTGACGTGCCTCCAAAAGAATACAGGATGACATCGGTTATCTTCGGCGCTACATCATCTCCGAGCACCGCAATCTATGTGAAGAATCGAAACGCAGCGGACTACAAAGAGCAGTATCCAGAGGCAGCAAGGGCGGTCGAGCTAAACCATTACATGGACGATTACCTGCACAGCTTCCACTCAGAAGAAGACTTTAGAAAAGTGACGACGCAGGTGGACTTCATACACAAGAAGGCAGGCTTCGAACTCAGGGGATGGGCGTCAAATCAACCCGAACTGCTGCAAGACGTGAAGATCGACTCCATCGAGAAGACAGAAGTGGACCTAGGCGAGAAGGAAGAGAAGACATTAGGTCTGCGCTGGTTCACCAGAAAGGACTCCATCGGCTTCAGGACAAACCTCTGAAATACACCAGAAGAAATAGCAAGAGGACTCAAGGTGCCTACGAAGAGAGAAGTACCAGCGCAGTAATGTCGACCTTTGATCCGCTGTGTTTAGCATCACCAGTTCTCATCCAAGGCAAGAAGCTGCTGCGAAGTGGCGTCGGTTGGGATGACGAAATAAGAGAAGGGGAGTACGAAGCATGGAAAACCTACCTGGAGAAGATGGAGCTGCTCCAAGACCTGCAAGTTCCGAGATGCCTGGCGCCACATTGCACCGAGGGGGAGCTACACACTTTCGTTGATGCGAGCGAGCTGGCGTACGCAGCGGCAGTTGGAGGACAGAAGGGCAAGATGGAACCTACCACGTCAGCTTAGTGGCAGCAAAGGCGAGAGTCACTCCATTGAAGCCAGTGTCCATCCCGAGACTCGAACTACAGGCAGCCCTCCTAGGAAGCAGACTGGCTCATTCAGCTGAAGAAGAATTGGACCTAAAAGTAACAAAGAAAACATTTTGGACAGACTCCAGCATCGTACTTTCCTGGATAACAGACCCGAGAACCTTCAAGACGTTCGTAGCTCATCGCTTAGCGGAGATAGAGGACCTCATCAAACCGCAAGACTGGAGATGGGTGCCCACAGCGCAGAATCCTGCAGATGACGCAACACGCGACGTGCCAGAAGACTTAACTGCACTCACCGATGGTTCACCGGACCAAGCTTCCTGAGAAAAGAAGAAGCACATTGGCCTGCACCAAGAACTTTCAAGAAAACAACCACCGGCGAAGAAAGGGCAGCGGACGTCGCAGCAATAACACAAACATTTCATCCATCACCAGACCCGGAGAAATTCTCTTCATGGAAGAGGCTTTGGCGAGCCACAGCGAGAATAATGCAGTTCTTACAACTCAGAGAAGAGAAGGTCAACGTCTGCAAAAATGATCCCACCTGGAAAATAACACAAAGAAAAGGCACGAAGACTGTAGAGAAGCAACACAGATCTTCAAAAACAACAGAAAGGAAATATATACCGATGGACACCGAACTACTCGAGAAAGCTGAAACTCTTTTGCTGAAAAGAAGCCAAGACAACAGTTTCAGAGAAGACATCAAGCGCCTTCAGCAAGGAAAGCAATTAGAGGGCAGCAGTAAACTAAAAAGGCTCGACGTAATATTAGAAAAGGGTCTCCTGCGAATAAAGGGAAGAATCGACGCGATACAGGGTGTGACCAGGGACTACAAACGACCTATCGTGCCCGACAGCAAGGACAAGACAACACAACTCATCATAGAAGAATTCCACCGCCGCTTCAATCATGGAAATCACGCGACGGTGATGAATGAAATACGACAACGCTTCTGGATACTCGGTCTAAGGTCAGCAATCAAGACGGTTCAGCATCAATGTCAATGGTGCGAAACGAGAAAAGCAAGACCTCAAGAAATACCAACAGGCAACTTACCGGCGGAAAGGCTGATGCACGGATATCATCCTTTTACGTGCACGGGCGTGGACTACTTCGCACCGATGACCATCACCGTGGCAAGACGGCACGAAAAGAGATGGGGGGCTCTATTTACATGACTCACAACAAGGGCTGTGCACATTGAGCTGACTCCTTCGCTCTCCACCGACAGCATGATCATGGCGCTGCGACGATTCGCCGCAAGAAGAGGGATGCCTAAGAAAATCTACAGCGACAACGGGACTAACTTCGTCGGCGCCAACAAAGAAATAAAAGAAGCGCTCGCTTGACCTTGCAGCAAGAAGACCTCACCTTACCTCAGAAGCAGAGAAGATCGGCGTGCAATGGAAATTCATCCCTCCAGGTGCGCCAAATATGGGTGGCGCATGGGAACGTTTGGTGCGATCAGTCAAAACCGCACTAGACGCCACACTTCACGAACGGTATCCACGAGAGGAGGTACTCCACACTCTCCTCCTAGAGGCCGAGCACATAGTCAATTCTCGACCTCTCACACACCTCTCGCGTGTTGCGTCATGTGCAGGATTCTTTTTAACTATTATGACTTAACCGATCACTGAACTATATACACATACAGATAGAAAATTAACAATTTTATGGGTGCTTGTGGAGAACAAATCAGAGTTGCTAGCGTACTGTGAAATTTTATGGCAAACTGCTGGCCCCTGAGAACAACCAACCACAACACATTTTTATACAATATTAATTCTTTTTTTAATTTTATTTTATTGTGGCAACCACACAATAAAATAAAATTAAAAAAAGAATTAATATTTGTAGCAACAGGAGTTAAAAGACTGTGAGAGGATGTAGATTTTCTCGATTTTTATAAATGCCTGTAATTTTTAAAACACATAGCAAAGATTTTTTTTAATTTTTCTGTTAACTATTTTGACTTAACCTATGACCCGACTCTGACTTGACGTCGATTTCTGGGGCAACCTGTATACTACATATACACATAGAAAATTAACAATTTTGTGGCCGCTGGTGGGGAACGAACCTGGGTTGCTAGCATACTGTGAAATTTTATGGCAAACTACAGGCCCCTGAGCTACCAGGGCTTGTTTTGTGTCTTTGTATGGCCTACAAATAATTCCTCTATCTTAATCGTCCCGTCAACTTCCACTACTGCACATGGAAGGATCTCTCCCGATGTAGGGAGGATTTGCCTCAGTCGTCACGCTTGGCATAGGATTGACGATCGCAGAACCAGATGTGACCTCTGGCAATGTTGCCTGTCGCCGGTCTGGATATTTTACATCTGAAGTAAACGAAGTGTTTATACCGCCATCTGTCGGAAAACCAAACTCAAAATCGGCTCTTACGAAACTCACGGGATAAAGTGTGATGATGAATTCTCTTATGCCGCACTTACACGCCAACTTCGTCTGTACTGTGTATGTAATACTAGTTCTGTATGGAATTCGAAACAGCAATTAGATAGATAGATAAAAAATACTGGTCAAAATGTATGTATGTATGTATATATATAACATTCTTTTTGTGTGGGATTTGAACCAGCGATCATTACATTAATATAATTATAACACGGTCAGAACAACGTCAACATTATTATTCAAATTTAGATTCTATTCCATTCTTTCCCACCAAAAATGAATGTGTTATTTAGAGAAATTGGCTAAAATACTTTATATCTAGCAACATTATTTAGTATAATTATGTAAAATATTATGATTTCCCTATATCTCCCTGGGTTGACTGACAGAGAGAATGTCATAAGAAATAAACTCCGTCTAAGTTATCTTACAATAAAGATACAATTTCTTACAATAAATAAAATGTTTGATTCATTTGTGTTTCAGAACAAACCTGCATACAAACAAATATGTTTTCGAAACCGTGTGAGATTAAATCAAATTCTACCGATTGTAATACAAATGATGTTCGTAAAAAAAACCGCGATTTAGAAAGGCTTGTTATTAAAACAAAGCCTAAAATGAAAAGAGATACTAAACCAGTTATTAAAAAAGGGAAACATCCTGCAAAAATCACGAAAAAGAAAATTTTTAAACAGAGTGTAAATATACTTACGGAAAACACATCTGAGGCATCAGCAAAATACATTTTTGAATGTGATGATTGTAGAAAAAAGTTTTTAAAAAAAGATATTCTCGCCGACCACATATCATACAGTCATAAGACGCAAAAGAACTCGGATGCAGTTAAGGCACAAGTTGAACAAACTCCAGTACCACAACTAATTGTATATATATAACTGTGATATTTGCGAATTTAAAACATCTTATAAACGTTGCATTTTAGCACATCTTAAAGCGCACGTCGCTAAGCAAGTGTACTGTTGTAATAATTGTGATTATAAATGTATAAATAAAGGAAATTTGCAAACGCATATGAAAATACACACCGGAGAAAAACCTTTTTCGTGTAATATCTGTGAATATAGATGTATTAAAAAGAGCCATTTGCAATCACATATGAAAATACATACCGGTGAAAAACCTTTTTCGTGTCATACCTGTGAATATAGATGTCTTAGAAAAAGTCAATTGCAAACACATATGAAAATACACACCGGTGAAAAACCTTTTTCGTGTAATACCTGTGAATATAGATGTGTTAGTAAAAGTAATTTTCAAACACATATGAAAATACACACAGATGAAAAACCTTTTTCGTGTAATATCTGTGAATTTAGATGCATTACAAAGAGTCATTTGCAAACACATATGAAAATACACACCGGTGAAAAACCTTTTTCGTGTAATACCTGTGAATATAGATGTATTAGAAAAAGTAATTTGAAAAGCACATATGAAAATACACACAGATGAAAAACCTTTTTCGTGTCATATCTGTGAATTTAGATGCATTACAAAGAGTCATTTGCAAACACATATGAAAATACACACCGGTGAAAAACGTTTTTCGTGTAATACCTGTGAATATAGATGTATTAGAAAAAGTGGGTTGAAAATGCACATGAAAATACACACCGGTGAAAAACCTTTTTCGTGTAATACCTGTGAATATAGATGTATTAGAAAAAGTCAATTGCTAACGCATATGAAAATACACACCGGTGAAAAACCTTTTTCGTGTCATACCTGTGACTATAGATGTATTAGAAAAAGTCATTTGCAAACACACATAAAAATACACACCGGTGAAAAACCTTTTTCGTGTAATACCTGTGAATATAGATGTATTAGAAAAAGTAATTTGCAAACACATATGAAAATACACACAGATGAAAAACCTTTTTCATGTAATATATAAGGCATTTGAATATACATACTGGAGCAAAATCTTCTTGTCTGATAAAATATGTACAATATTCTAATAATTCTTCTTCTCTGATGAAATATGTACAATAGCTGTGAAAACCCGCTTCGCTGGGTTAGTTTTTGTCGAATATTTATTCATGTGTGTGTATATTTTATTAAATAAGTTATTTTTTAATTCAGGACACGTGATTTTTCTCGTAAAATTTTTAAGTTTTTTCTTACATATTTTTATTCATTATACAAATAAATAAAAATATGTAAGAAGAGAAACGGGAAATAGAGTAAATGGGGCCCTACACTATATTGTGAAGAGTCAAAATGTGTCGAAAAAGGCACGTATGGCAATTCACAATGCTGTTTTGGTCTCTACTTTAACGTATGGTAGTGAAAGTTGGGTGTGGCAGAAGAAGCACGAGAGTAGAATGAACGCAGTAGAAATGCGGTCGTTAAGGAGTATGTTAGGGCTGAATCTGAATGACAGGGTAAGAAATTGTGTAATAAGAGAAGAGTGTGGTTTGCAAGATGATGTTGTGACCAGGATTAAGAAAGGAATGCTTCGGTGGTTTGGTCATGTGGAAAGAATGGATGAGGGAAGACTGACAAAGAAAATTTATGTTGCAGAAGTGAATGGCGGAGTCGGAAAGGGACGTCCTAGGCGAAAATTTATCGACCAAATTGGCGATTTATTAAAAACGGGCCAAATTAGGAGTACCCTTAACCGACGAGCATGTATGCGTAGGTGTATGGATGTGAAGGAGGCGAGAGAGGTGTGTCAGGATCGTGCCAAATGGAAGTCTGTAGTCTCTGCCTACCCATCTGGGTGACAGGCGTGAGTGTTTATGTATATGTAAAAATACTTTACAGATAGTCATGTACTGAATACCTATATTACAATACATTCTTATGCACTACATTTACTGTCTTATGTTCTGGTGCATCTGGTGAGTTGACCATGTGAAAAACGGTATTCTCCCAAATTCACTCCACAATATTGGAACGTTTGGTCTTGTGCCTTATTCATAGTTATACTGTAAGCCTATCGTAGAGGAAACTGTAACCGCTTAAAACAGAATGGTAAATCATTTGAAATTAATTGAATTCGTGGTATAAAAACGGATTTTCCTTTTTCCTTGCCAGTTAGAATTATTGCCTCAATAATGATGTTTAGAAGTTGTTTTATCCGCTGACATGACTCTGTTAACCACTGGTTTACAACACATTTCCTCCCTAAACTGACCTGTTAACTCCTGTCGTAACGTACATTTGGGTACAGTCGTTAAAAAAGAGCTATATTTCAATGAATATGGGTCTTATTCATAGTATCGTACTTGTTGCCTTTTAAGTATGATATTTTACGCCTTTAAGCTTTAAACGACCCATCTAGAGCCAGTAAACACGTCGGATTTTGTACCTAGTGTGTACCCGACGTTATTGCGCCTTACTTTGCGACATTTTTTTGTTTTAAACATATTTGTTTGATAACATACTCACAAACTGTACACGTGATACCTTTTTTGAAAGGAAATTAAAAATGCTATTTAATAAGCTTAGAATTACTGCCAATTATTTACATAGGTACGTGGTACAAAATTCGGAAAAACGGCATTTGATTTTCTTTACCTATGAGAGTATATTCACTAATTCTAATGTTTCTCAATATTGATAACAGATACTGCTACAATTTTTATCAGTTCTGTTAAGGATGAAATAACCTTTGCATTAGTTTCAATTATTTGTGAATATTTGAGTTTTTATTAATGCTATAAATACCAGTTGCGTAGCGAACGCGCGATCGACAGGTTGCGCACGAGATTAAAAATGGATGCAGTGAAGTGTAAGGAGTGCAATATTATTATAAACGAAGTGCTAGCATACTTGCAGAATAAGTTAGAGGTGTTAACTGAAGATCAAATTGTGAGAATATGTTCAACTGGTTTTTCTGCGGAAGATATTGAGAAGGCGAAAATTTTATTATTTTCTTCAGTGACATCGTCATCAACGAGACGACGTGTGAGAAAGGGCTCCGGAAAACATGTTCGAGGTATAGAAGATATGATTGCATTTTTTAAGAGCAATGATCCAGAATTATTTCCTATATTTGTTGCTAGGGACTTGAATAAATTACCCCCCTGTTAGCTACGATCATATAGATGTGACGAAATTGGTCAAGGATATACAAATATTAAAAGTGGAAATTTCTTGCATAAAAGAATCCTATGTTACTACAGAAGAAGTTAATAATCGTGTACAAGAATTAAACAAATTTGTGCCCCGACAAATCTTTTGGATGTAAGCGTTAGCAAAAAAATTGGAGGGTATATGTTAGATAGCGGACCGACTGCGCTATCGGATAATGAACAATATGAATGCAGTAACAACGGACCCAGTGCCCCTACGATACAAACTCACTCGAACACTGAAGCTGTGACGACGGTGCTGTCTAATATAGCGTCTCGAGTCGCTAAGCCTACACGAGTTTCACCACCGCCGCCGCTGAGATCGCCACCAGTGAGTACCGAATGTAAACAAGCCTAGTATGGCAGAAATGGTACGTAATGAAGGAGAATGGAAAATAGATCGACCAGCGGACGAGTGGATTATGGTACAGAGGAAAAGATATAGAAATCGTTTTATAGGGCAGAAAGGGAAAGCAAGTGTTCAGTCCACTGAAAAGTTTAAAGCTGCGGATATAAAAGTTCCTTTGTTTATCTCTAATGTCCATAAAGACTCCGCCGAAACGGACATTATTAATTATATACGAGAAAAAACTAAGGAAATTGTAAGCTTACAAAAGATTGATATAAAACAGGATAAAGGGTACAATAGTTACAAATGATTAGTGTCTAAACATAGGGTCAACACTTTTTTGGATGATAATTTGTGGCCGGATGGAATCTCTTTCAGAAGATTCGTTCATTTAGGAAATAAGAAAGAGAAATAGGTTCTTATGTTTATACTGTTTAAAGAATATAATGGATAACAATTTCAAATTAATAACTTATAACTGCAAGAATATTAAGCGTTCTGAGGCATGTGTGAGGTCACTGTGTCAGTCACCTGACGAGATTACTGTGTGATGATCTTCCTTTTTTGAATACTATTAGCGATGATTATTTCTTATATTTACGCGAACACTACACATTGAAATAATACTAGTTTTTACGGAATTTATCGCGTATATTTAACTTTTTAATACCCGACGTTTCGACGCTTTACAGCACTCATGGTCACGGGCGGGACTGAGATGTTCAACGTCCATATGTTATAGTTAACCGCGGTTATCATAGATTAAAATTTAACTTTTGTTCCGATCTATGCAGTATGAACTTATGGTATCTTGAAGTCTTGCAGTTGTATGCTTGGGTTGGGATTTAATTTTATTTATTCTAGGATCCCAAGCAGATGGTAGCACCCAGCCATCTTCTCTAAGTCTGCAGTCAGTAAAAACGTACACGATCGCCCCCGTCACTACTTCAGATTTGATAGACCGCAAATCCTCGCTAAAGAACACCGATTCCTTCCAAGGATGATTCGCGAGGCTATTGAAATCAAAAAACATCCTAATTTCAATAGAGAAGATGGCTGGGTGCTACCATCTGCTTGGGATCCTAGAATAAATAAAATTAAATCCCAACCCAAGCATACAACTGCAAGACTTCAAGATACCATAAGTTCATACTGCATAGATCGGAACAAAAGTTAAATTTTAATCTATGGTAACCGCGGTTAACTTTGACATATGAACGTTGAACATCTCAGTCCCGCCCGTGACCATGAGTGCTGTAAAGCGTTCGAAACGTCGGGTATTAAAAAATTAAATATACGCGATAAATTCCGTAAAAATTAGTATTATTTCAATATTAGCGATGAGTTCGCGGGCACCGGTACGTCGGCAGTTAATACCTCTGCTGGTTTGCTTCGCGGCAGGCCGTATGGGGGTGTTGCGATCTTGTGGCGTAAGGTGGCGTTTACTTCAGTGACAGTGATCGACTGTGAAAATCCTAGGGTATATGCAATAAAGGCCGTTAGTGGTGACCGATCCATATTGGTTTTCAGTATTTATATGCCAGTGAGTAAAAATGAAAACCTAATTGAGTTCAAGGAGTGTCTAGGTAGAATTAGTGCTATCATTGAGAGTTGTGCGATAGAAACAGTTTATATTGTTGGTGATTTCAATGCTCACCCAGGTGAGCTATTTGGTGATGAATTATTAAAGTTTTGTACGGATCAGTGTTGGCAGTGTGCTGATATGGACAAACTCGGTATGTACTCTGACTCTTTTACATATGTAATCTACTGCCGCTTACCAAACTGCGCAGTGTCGAAATTTTACACAGTATTTATTGGTCGGATCACTTCCCTTTAAGTATTACTTGTGGCCTAGCAATGGAGAAGATAACAAGGTAACAATATTAGACTTTTAAGTACGTAGGTAAAAAATGTAGACCAAACACATAATTCTAGTTGTTTCTTCACATCGATCGGCGCACTATTACCGAAGTTATAAGCGTGGAAAGTTTACGTACATTTTGAAAATTTCGCCCGTGCCCGCGAGTAGCGCGTGTGTCATTGATTCCATGCGGCCGGCCGGCACGAGCGGCAAGTTTGCAAGTTTCTCTATAAAGTGAAGATTTTTCTTCATAGCTTGAAGAACTTACTACATCAAATTGAAGAAGTTTCTTATTCTCTTGTACTGGCCGAACATATTTAGGAAGTTGATCTACAGTCGGGCGAGTAATGTTGTCAATGTAGTGCTCTAATTTGCTTAATTTAAAATAATTATCTTACATTTAAAGTCATAAAAGTGAGTGTGTATAACAATTTTGAACATTGTGTAGAATACTTAAACGTTAGTTAAGCGAAATCAAAATAAATAACATTAAAATGAAAGTGCTAAAATAAAACTATCAACGATATCGATCTACCGCGTTATTCTTACTAAATGTTAACTTAACTCTGTTCGTGTTACATATTCATTTGTTAACAAACATTATGTTTACTTTTTGTTCTGTAATAATTACTGTTTTATTGAACTCTTAAAGTTTAATTCTAGATTATTTATAATAATTATAAAATATTGACAATGATTGTTGTGTTGTGTTAACCATAAAACTGGTCAGTAGTGGTAATCAATAGTTTTGTGTTTATTGCCCTCCTCGGCTACTGGTAGTAAGACGCTGCAACGTACATAAATAAATAAACGCGATATAAATAAGTCTATCTCAATCAACTCACCATGGTCAAGTGTGGAGCCTGTGGTCGCTACCTGCTGGTGACAGATGGTATTATATGTGGCAAATGAGATGTAGCCTATCATCGAGGCAGTCTGAACCTCTCTGAGAAGACGAAGATATCAGCTTCATGGATGTGTCCTGCTTGTAAAAATAAGGTTCCTCGCACTGGAGACCATTCCAACACACCGGTTAAGTGCCAAGAAGTTGGTGAATGTAGTCCTCTCCATAAAGATATCGATATAGGTTTAGAAATTCGTCTTTTTCGAAATGAGCTTAGCGCTATGAGGAATGAGCTGAAGGAAGTCAGGGACAATATAACTATGGTAAAGGATACAGTTCTTGCGTTTAATAAAAGCCTGGAGGAAAGGGATTGCAGAGTGACCAAGTTGGAAAAACTATATGAAGAATATCTGATTAAGTGCGACACTAAAATACTAGAGGACACGATTAGTGAACTTAGAGTCCAACTTAATGAGAGAGATCAGGACCTCCTCGTCAATGACCTGGAGATATCGGGGTTACCGGAGCGAAAAGGTGAAAATCCTATCAATACCGTGGTGCTATGCGCTAAAAAGATGGGTCTCGATATTGATCACCGTGAGATAGTTATGCGGCGCGTGCTGGTGTTTTGCGTACATCTTATTGTAATAACAAAGCGCTCAAAAACTGATGTCTACTGGACCCCGCAAGATTGTGGTGCGGATGAGTCGGCGTGCAGTTCGGGACGAGTTCCTACGTTGTGCGCGGGTGCGACGCAACATAACAAGTGATTCACTGGGGTGGCGCGGATATCCGTGTAGGATTTACATTAATGAGCGGCTCACTCCCGTCAATAGGAAATTATTTGGAAAGACACGTGAAGCAGCAAAAATGGCAAGTTCGCGCTACACATGGACAAAGGGTGGTCAAATATTCGTAAGGAAGGAAGACGGAAAGCCCGTAACACGCATCCGATCTGATACAGACCTAAGTCGTGTTTTCTGCTAACTCTAAGTTGTTTGTTTATACTATAATGTTTACGTGCTACCTTTATTTTTGTTTTTTTAGTAATAGTGAGTGTTTGATTGGTTTTGGAAAGATGATAGTTTTTCCTTTAAATATGTATTTTAATATTATGTCTAACATATTTGTATTACAATGTGACATTAGGGACACAGTATGAGTGGTACTGACTACTGAGTCAGAAGTGGTACAACGTTCGTCGACTCACGATCCTAAAAAAAAGTTTTGGCATGCTCTGATCATGAATCTGCGGTCCGTTTTTGCGTAGGATGCACGGTTCCGGAGATGTGCAGATCAATTAACTCTTATCTAATTGATATCCGGTGAGGGCCTCCACCGTCATTAGCGCCCCATTGTTCTTATCTTTTTATCTATTGTTCATTGAATACCGTCATTGTCTATTTTTCCTCGGCGTATGCGTCGGCTTATCAGTGCTATTGTATTATACTTCTTTGTTCCTATCTACAACGCTAATCTGAATCATCAATAAAACACATTACCTAATTTTGTTACAATTTTTATTTACAAAATACAAAACCTTATTACTTATTATGTATAAAATAGGAGCGAAACGTCTCATCCACCAAAATATCGATGTACAATGTGTTCCCTGTAAATATACTCGTAAAACTATGCATCGAACATCCCTGAAACTTATATAGCAAATGCATTAAGCAATATTCGCCACAAACTGAAGTCCACTCATTCTGAATCCTATCAACATTCCAGTTCCATCTTTTACAATTCCTTTTTAAAAACTCTAGATGACATCGTACAGGTGATCGTCCATATGAATCAAAATATTGACCGACGTCATTCGTATCGATATATAAAGCTACCCAATGTGACCATGGTTTATCATCTGTATCCAAATTGCATATTATATACGTTGGTACGAGGGTATACATGGCAGTCTATTAGCAGCATAAACATTATTTTCTAGACTGGGGTGAATCTTTTTCAGATGTTGTACATCTAGTGTATCCATGATATTACTGCTATTAGTAGATTATTACAGTGCCAATCTACTCAATGACTAACATAGGAATGATCAATTATAGTGTTTTCTAAATATTAAATTGCCAAAATTTATCGCGATTAGTTAGTAAACAAATTTCAAAAGACGGTCACATCATGTACATTTGCGAAGCATGTCTACTTCATTTTCCATCTCAGGAAAGGTTAAATAACCATGAACAATGCGATTGTGCTCACATTTGTACAGAATTACCAAACAGTGAAACTTTAAAAAAAAAGAATTGGTTTGGTCAACCTATTTCAAATGATAAAATTAAATTTGATAGTTATGAAAAAAAGTTAAAGATACCATTCGTAGTTTATGCTGATTTTGAAACATTTTTAAAATCAATAGAATCATGTTCTAACGATCCTTCCAAACCTTTCACACATAATATTAAGAAACATGAAGTACATAGTTTTTGTTATTATATAAAATGTTCATATGATGATAAATTATCAAAGTATGTAACATATTGCGGACCCAACTGTGTACAAGTGTTTATGGAAAGTTTTTATTAGTTTAGACTTCAAAAATATCCTCCACTTCCACTAACAAATGAAGACAAAAACCAAATATCAAATGCAACCATTTGTCGTATTTGTGAAACAGAGTTAGCAGAACATTTTTATGATTTTGCTTGGTACACCGGTAGTTTTATAGGTGTTGCTCATGTATCATGTAGCTCGAAGTACAGAACACCTCGTTATATACCAATATTTTTACACAACCTTAGTCATTATGATGCTCATTTTATTGTTCACGCGTTAAACTTTTGTGATGGTGAAGTCGAAGTTATCCCTCAAAATAAAGAAAAAATATATCCTTTTCCAAAAAATTCAAAATGAATAACCACGAAATTATATTGAGATTCATAGAATCGTTTAAGTTTTTATCATGTAAATTAGAAGAATTGGCCAAGAATCTCGGTAATGATCAATTTCAAGAATTATGTAGAAATTACCCTAATGATGAAGATTTCTTTCGTTTAAAACGGAAAGGCGTTTATCCATATGAACTTATGACTAATTATGATAGTTTAAGCCTAACATCGCTTCCTGAACAAAAAAATTTTTATAGCTGGCTCACAGATTCCCATATTTCAAACGATGATTACAATCATGCTAAAGATGTTTGGGAACACTTTGGGTGTTGTAATATGCTAGAGCTTATTCAAACCTGTATTTTAAAACAGACGTTTTACTTTTATCCGATGTATTTGAAATCTTTAGAAAATTATGTATTAATACTTATGATTTAGACCCTGCCCATTATTACACAGCACCCGGTTTAAGTTGGGATGCAATGTTCAAATATACAAAAATATACAAAAATAGAATTAGAACTTTTAACAGATTATGAGAAAATTGCATTTATTAGATCAGGTATCAGGGGTGGTGTATCGGTTGGGCTATGTCTCAATGTCTTCCTACTGGTGGATTCGAATGGGTAAATCCGAATACATAATTTAATGTGTCTGAGACATCGGACTGCGGTTTTATTTTAGAAGTTGATTTGGAATATCCAGATGAACTTCATGATTTACATTCAGACTTTCCTTTATGTCCAGAAAACATTTGTGCAGGCAATATTAATGAGAATAAAGATAAATATGTAATTCATTACAGAAATTTAAATCAGTGCATAGAAATGTGGGTTAAATGAACTAAAATTCATAGAGTTTTAAAATTTAAACAGTCTCCCTGGTTTAAGATGTATATAGATCTAAACACAAAATTAAGAACGTAAGCAAAATCAGATTTCGAAAAAGATTTTTATAAATTAATGATTAATTCAGCGGTAAGACTATGGAGAATATTGAAAAAACGTTTAACAAAAATTAGTTACACACTGGGAGAACCAGGGTAAAGCTTTAGGTGCTCAAGATCTAATCGCTAAACCACAATTTCATAGTCTTTCATTATTTTCGGAAAACCTAGTTGCGGTTCAGTTGCGAAAAACGAAGTTAATATATAACAAACCAATTTATTTAGGGTTTTGCATTTTAGATATTTCAAAAACATTAATGTATGATTTTCATTATAACTATATGGTTAAAAAGTTTAGTAAAATCAAATTATTGTATACAGATACGGATAGTTTAATATATCATATATTTACAGATTTTTACACTGATATAAAACCTGACCTTTCATCATACTTTGATACCTCAGATTATGATACAAATAATATTTTTCAATATCCAAAATAAATAAAAAGAAATTAGGTTTTTCTAAAGATGAAAATAATGGTAAAATCATGAAAGAATTTGTGGGTTTACGATCCAAAATGTACGCTTTTAACTTAGAAAATAAGACTATAGCCAAGGCAAAAGGGGAAATAAATGTATCACTAAAAAGATGACAATGAATAGTTATAAGTCTTCTCTATTTAATAAAAAAGTGCAATATTATAGTATGCTTAGATTTAAATCAATTATACACACAATTTTTACACAAAAATTAAATAAGATTGTTTACATATAATGACACAAAGAGGCATATTTTAGATAATAATATTGAAACATTAGCTTTTGGTCATTAATTATTTTATGTCTCTTTTGATTGTAAATAAATACTATATATGACGTAGATTAATACTTATATTTTTAATGGAAATAATTAAAATGTTATATTTGCGTGTGTGTGTATTTATTTGAGGTTGAGTTGATTGTAAAAATATGTACTAATTTAGAAATAGTATAAGATCATTCTGTTTTATATAATTTTTGCAATATATATTAATTGTTTACACCAACACTTTCATTTTTTATTTCACCCCTTAGAACTTTAGACGTGTGTAATGTTTCACTTTATCCATCCGTTTACTGCTATTGTGGCAGAACCGAGTGGATGTGGGAAGTCAAATTTTGTAACAAATTTCATAAAATCAGTTACAGAAATATGTAACTGTGATTTTAATCAGATCACATGGTGCTTTGATGAAATGCAACCTTTATGTAATTTACCAAATGTTAACTATCATCAAGGAATTCGAAATCTTAATATGTTTGATGGTGAAAACCCACATCTTGTTATTATTGATGATCTAATGAGAGAGTCCGATGGAAGAATTGCGGATATATTTACAAAAGGTAGTCATCACAAGAATCTTAGTGTATTTTATTTAACACAAAATTTATTTCATCAGGGTAAAGGGCAAAGAGACATATCCTAAAACTTAAAGTTATATAATATATTTTAAAAACCCTCGAGATAAAACTCAAATAAGATATTTAGCGCGACAAGTGTCACCAGATAACCCAAAATTCATTAAAGATGCCTATATATATATATATATATATATATATATATATATATATATATATATATATATATGTGTGTGCTCAATATCTTGTAAAGTAGTGGCAACCGCATGTGCAACTGTTTCTGACCTAGCTTTGGCATTAAGTTTTGATAGTAAAAATCTTTGTGGTTTTTCTGTACACCTATTTTGACTAGCAGACTTGTGAGGCAAAACATCTTTTTTAAGTTTGAGGGGACCACCAACTAGTTTGCTTCACATAGTTTTCCATATCGTTTTCGACCTAGAACAAAATACAAACTTATTTAAGTCTATAAAAAAAAGAGACCTCGTAATTTGTATTCCATCAATATTTAAAATATGTACCAACTATGTAATATATAAAAATAGGACAACACGAAAAAAAATTTAAGTGCTCCACTTCATAATCAAACTTCTTCCATTATTTGCGGCCCGCAAACTATAAAGGTTGAACAGCGCTCTGCG